TGAGATCCATACACTGCTTCTGGTCTGTCCAAGAAAACATTCTCCCGTATTTACATAGACAGTACGTTGGTTTTCAAGTACCAGTAAACTCGATAAAACGTAAAAATATCCTAAGAGTGGGAGCACTCCCAAAACGTGACCGGTCGCCATGACAGATACTCAGTCTCTAACATGGGTAACATCCTGCCCTTCGATGGCGTACCTTATCCTATCAGGCGCCCAAAGGGTGTATGTCCTTTTTTTATTCTTTAAGACCAAACGCAGACGGTCGATGTCTTCGAAGACCACGTAATTCTTTATCTCGTAGATTTCCCCCACCGTCAGCTCCCTCCAGTGCGTTTGTATGAACTTTAACTCGTTGAATTTGTCCTTATCCATCATATATTCTATGGAATATCTTTAGATGCGTCCTCAGAGTCTGCGTGGTCTTAAAGCGCTTGCAGCACCACCTACATGGTAAACGCATTCCCTGTGCATACTCTGTGATGGCTCTGCAAATGTCATCGTAGTCGTTGCTGATCATTACTTTATAACCATTCTGCTCATACCGCTGCAGCAGCAGGCGTTGATCCTCAGATAATACCCCGTTGCCTTTAGGAGTCTTCAGCTCGACGCAGAAACCACGGTATCGCACGTGTGCATTAAGGATTAACAAGTCGGGCTGACCGCGTTGATATTCTTTCTGCCAGCACTTTATGCGTTTGCCGTCGCTGTCCTGCAGTTCACCTAGGCCAGGGGTCACGAGCATTTGGGGGTAAAACCTGCGGATGTAGTCCACCACTTTTTTTATGCAGGTTGAATTCATTTTCGATCTTGAAGACCAACTTGTTAGGACTGTCAAAACGCCTTTCTATCTCGTACTTGCCCGTTTTACGTAGCGCGGGTAGGACCTCTTCAAAGACCCAATCTTGGAACTCCTCTGCCTTTGGCATCTTAGAGCTAAATATCAATTGATACAACCCAGATTCGGTAATGTACAGGGAATCCGGGTGTAAGTTGGAAGGGAGGCGATTCACCTCCCTTCTAATTTCACTAACTCTTATCTTGTACTTATCGCGAACGTGCACCTTAATGGCATCCTTAGGGTCTGCGTATTCCAACGCCAAAGCCACCTCCTTCGCTTTAAAGTACAGTTTATCGCCTTGCACTATGCATTGCAGTTTGGTGTTGTTGTTTTCAAAGACGCGTAACATGGTATATTAGACAAATATTTTAACTTTCCTTTCGCGAGCCTAGTAAGCAACGCTTTTTAATTGGTTCATTTCTACGCTTAGCTGCGCGTCAGACACGACGAAGACGTACGCGTTTATCTTATCGTCGTCGCTCCCGGAGGCATTCTTTGTGCGCTTGATCTCCAAAGTAATGCCGTCTTGGGTGTTTACCAGCCGCAGGCCCTGACCGTGCATGGATTCGTCGTTGATGGTGCGCATATCGATCCATAACGCATACTTATCCTTAAAGAATTCCTCAGGGCTAATTTGGTCGCCAAACTTACGCATTGCCTCCCTGTACACGTCTGCAGGCTTTATTCCCTGGGAGTAGACCTTGTTGGGTACTCCGTTAATATTCACGCCGACGTTAGTGATGTTGGGGTTGTGAAAGGCTTCGGAGTCGCGCTT